GGCACCTGTTGGGATGAGCACTGGGTGTCGTATGGAAACCAATTTGACAATAAATTTCGTATTAAAAAAAAAAGCATAGCACCTCCTGTGGTGTCACAGCTTTAGGCCGTGTGATTGGGGTAACTTGCAGTCTGTCTCGTGTCAGTTACCTGATTGATGACGCGGAGGGCATAGTGATAGAACCCAAGCTGGGAGGGTGGTTGGGATGCTTAACTGAGGTGATATGTACGAAGTGGGGAGCAGGGGTCTGGATGTGCTCAGGCTGCGGAGTTCGGCCACTTGCAAATAAACGGCAGCTGACCGACCTGAGCATGAGTGGCTGTGAGTGAACACCTACAGCGGGGACAGCAGCTTAAGACACAGGCTGTGCTGCTGGGGAGTCAGCCCTCCTCCTCAGGAGAGCAGACGGCACTATCAGCCTTTGTACCTGGCACCGTTGGCTCTCACGGTCAGGGGCTCCTCCGTGTGGAGGGTGCGCCCACCGGCGGGGAGGCAGGTGGCAGGGAGACAGCCTGTGCCGCCCGGCAGGTAACGGAGCCTTGACTCGAAGCCTCCCAGTAGTCTGTGGGGGAGGGCCCTGTGCGCGTCCTGTAGACGAGGGGCCCAGTGCAGAAAGGGCAAGGCACTTGTCCCCAGGCGTGGAGCTGGCAAGCGGTGCAGTTCAGGTTTCGGCCGGGTCCTCCTGGCCCCGGGGGCTGGCCGAGGGCGTGACTGCTGTCCGCCCTGGGGAGCATGGTCCCCTGAGGTCAGGTGCAGCGTGTTTCTCCTTCTGCTGTTTGGTTTGTTGTTTCTCTGTCACATGAGGTTTGGCAGTATTTATGCTGAGGCCACACTAACAAGGCGGCTGAAGTGTTTTTGTTCCATTTGAAACAACAGGCGTGTGAAGCTGTTGAACCTTCCCGCCAGCCTCCGGCCACAGAAAATGAAAAGCTTGCTGGGTCAGAACGTGTCGACCAAGAGCCCCTTCATCTACTCACCAATTATCGCACACAACCGTGGAGAAGAGCGGAACAAGAAAATAGGTAGGCCCATTTATCCTGGCTTCCTGGCTGTGCCCTGCCACCCGGCTTCCGTCGGCTTTTCTACGTTCCGCTTCCTTCGTGCATGTGTGTGTATGCTCCATGTCACTTCGTCCCATTTGCTGCCAGCGTCAGACCTTTGCCCCTAGATCTGATGTCTTGTCTTTTACTTTTATTTTTAAAAAATGCTTATTTATTTATTTTGAGAGAGGAAGAGAGCACATGGGGGAGAAGCAGAGAGAGAGGGAGAGAGAATCCCAAGCACGCTCTGCCTGCCAGCGTAGAGCCTGATGTGGGGCTTGATCCCACACACTGTGAGATCATGACCTGAGCTGAAATCTAGAGCTGGATGCTGAACTGAGCCACCCAGGCGTCCCTAGATCTGAGTTTTTAAAATTGATTCCATCAAAGGTGAGTTTTGGGGAAGTTTTAGAAATGGGCAGACTTGCGTTATCTAGACTGAGGCAGACGACCAGAGAGTGATCTTTGGAGCCCGGAGTGACTTGGGAATCATCAGCCATCAGAGGCTGACCTAGGTTTGGGCTGGACTGGGGTAGGGGCATCACTCTCTTTTCTCTGTTGAGCCCTTGTTTGTGCTGGAGCTGCGGATGCCCATGCCAAGACGTCTGGTGGCCCAGCAAGGACCGGTGAGCTGTGTTTCAGGGATAGATAAGGGTCAGCGGTCATTCTTGAGACTCTCCAACGTGCTTTTCTGTGCGCCAAGCTCCCCCCTGGGTCTCAGCCCTGTCTGCTCATCTCCTTCCTCGCAGCAGAGCCAGGCTCGGGTGCCCCCTCTCTGTCCTTCCAAAGCCTGGCCCAGCAGCGGGTCTCGTTCTCCGCCAGCTCCGCCTTCCTTGGGCCCCTTACATCTTGACATAATGGTGCCCAGCACTGCCACACGGGAGCCTGTGTGTCACAGTGTCGTAGTTGAAGGGTTGACGGGCGCGGCCCTGGTGGGTCATTGCTGATTCCCTCTGAGGAGTTTCAACACGAGACCTGAGAAGCTTTTGCTCTCTGCTTTCTTCTCCTGTTTTACTCCTCCTCTTGATCTGTACCCTAAAGGTAGCAAAAAGGCAGCCTGACTCCATGAGGAGCTTCCTCCCAGGGTACAGGGGTCCTGCTGCACTTACCCCCACCCCCGCCCTGCAGCGTGGACCGTCCGTGGCCTGCCTCTGTGTTCTGCTGCTGCCCCTCTTACTGCCCCTGTCCTCACAGCCAGCCGCACGGCTCCTTGCTGTGCTTGGAATGTTACAGTCTAGCTGCGGTCTCGGGGCTTTGTGCCGGCTACGCCCTCTGCCCGGGGCTCGTCCCCCGTGCCATCCTCAGAGAGAGCGGTCTTCTCTGATCCCTGCACCGCTGGGGCCGCCCTCCCAGCCCTCCGTGAGGCTGGGTTCTCTTCATAGTCCTCAGGTACGCGCTCACCTGTTTCTGTTTCCCTGCCGTCTGTTCACCCGCTGTCCTCCCACCAGCCGCTGGAAGAGTGCTGCACGGATGCTGGAAGGAATGGGGTAGATATTATGAACCCCATTTTACAGATGCGGAAACCGAGAGCCAGAAAGTGTGAATGACTTGTTGAAGAACTCAGCTCAGGCCTTGGCTCCTGGCGCATTTCGTGCCTGTTGGCTTGCACCATGTGGCTCAAGGCCAGAGTGCCAGCATTATGCACGCCACACGGTCTCAGTGAAGAGTTCTTACGTGAATACCGGCACTAGAATTTCTTAGCATTTGTATGGATCTCATAATAAACCTTATTCCCAGTTAGTTATCTGAACACCTTAAAACTGAAGTGTTTTGTCGGAGAGGAAGTTGTTCCTAAGTCAGAGGGCGTACCTGGGCCGGGGGTACTCGACAGACCCCGTGCTTTCTTGTAACGGCCGGCATTTCTTTGTTCCACCTTCATCTGAGGGTGTCACACTTCAGCGCATGCAGTTTTCCTAGTGTTTCTGGAAGAAGTAAGTGTTAGTTTTCTTCTATGGTTGCAGAAACAAAGAGTGATGACCTCCCAGGTGGCAGAGCGAAAACCTGAGTCCACATCTTTTTAGAGCAGGCCGGTGCCCTCCGGTTTTCTGCCGAGCACAGAGCACATGTGGCAGGGGCTCGAGTGAGTGATGACACCAGCCCCTGCCCTCTGCTGGTGTCCCGCTCAGTGTGGGCAGGCAGGACGTAAACACACGAGAGGTTGAATGACAAGATGAGGTGTAGGTCAGGTTGTCTGAAACGGTAAGCCTGTCACCAGCGGTACCTGCTGACTCTCCTACTGAGCGTGGACAAGCAGTAGGCGTTGGACCAGCTGGGGGCAGGGAAACCTCACACTTCGGAAGGCGACCTAGAGGCTCCCTTGGTGGTGATGTTGTCTCTTGGGGAGCAAGGTATGGTTTGGGAGGCTCTGGTGGTTCGTTATTTAAAACAAGAAGCAAATAAAGGAAGAAATACGGGATCGTGTCCTTGAAAAACAGAGGGTGAGAGAGAGAGAGAAAGAAAATCCCAAGCAGGCTCTCCACTGTCAGCACAGAGCGTGACATGGGGCTCAGACTCCTGAACTGTAAGATCATGACCTGAGCCGAAATCAGGAGTTGGATGCTCAGCTGACCGAGCCACCCAGGTGCCCCAGTTTCTTTTCTTTTTTTTTTAAGTTTATCTCTCCATGCTGTCAGCAGAGAGCTCAATGCAGAGCTTGAACCCACAAACCGTGAGATCAGGACCTGAGCTCAAGTTGGACACTCAGTGGACTGAGCTGCCCAGGTGCCCCTCTGATATGTTTCTGAAAACAGGATCCCAAGTGCGAAGCACACTACGGTCTCTCTGTGTATGTGCATGTGTGCGCGTGTGTGCTTGTGTGTCCCCATTGGTTCAGTCGTTCACCCATCGATAAACTCCCCTCAGGTTTCCTACTTGCCAGGCATGTGGCAGCTGGGGCCCTGCGGTTCTAACGATGCTGAGATAGTCGTGGCCCCTGCAGTCGTGAGGTGTAGGTACAAGCTGGAGGGAAGTGTTAAGTAGCAATTTCAAGCAGTAGAAAGTACCAGTAGGTGGACCAATAAATAACATAATGGCTAGTTTTAATTAGCGCCATTAACTAAACAGAGATGGGCTGAAGTGGAAAAAAACCAGCCTCCTCTGTGGCTTTGGAACCCTGGCCTTTCTCGACTGCATAGCTTTAATAAATATATTTAAGACGATGAGGTCTTGAGCCTTCTCTGACAGTGTTGGAGTGTTTTCCGTTTGCGCCACCATCAGGGGAACGAGAACCAGGCCACGGGCATGTTCCCCAGGAGCCGCATGCTGCTGCCTGCCCTCCTCACCAGGCTGCTTGCGCCGAAAGCCTGAAAACCACATCCCCCCCCACTCCCTGCCGGCCGGATGCCGTCGGGTCTGCCACGGTGGCCCTTGCGTGGGGGTGACAGAGGCCATTCTGCCCCTGGTGGCCTCCCTGGTGGCGGTGGTGGTGCCGGGTGACGTGGCTCCCCTTGCATTGGTGATTGAATCTGTGGCAGCCCGGGGCTGTGGTAGGGTCTGTGCCGCCAGCTCCCTCCTGTTGTCCAGCGGGGACTGGCACCCGATACGGAGTCAGCAAAGACCGGTAAATGTTCCTTAACGTGAATGAGTGACCAGCTGCTAGTGTTTCCTGGATGTTACTGGGGAGAGACCCCCCCCCCAAACAGGCGTTTGTGGTGAAAGCTTGTCTTTGACATTCTAGTTGGAGTCTGTTGATTTGGAGACAGTTTCTCCTGCCCCTCCTCCCCCCTCCTCCCAGGCACCCCTGCTCTGGAGGACAGGCTTGGGAGGACTGGAGGAAGCAGGGGGGCTCAGGGTGCATGGGGGGAGACCGGGGAGGGCCCGGGGCTCCCATGGGCGGGGCCTGTCTTTTCCACGGAAACGCCTCCTTTGACCTCTTTGGAGGTGGAAGACTGGGGTCCAGTTCCAAGCTGTGTCTTCCTGGTTCTTGATGGTGGGCGGGCTTCGTCTTCAGGCCGTCGCAGTGGAAGCTGTACTCCCTTGGGCCATTGGAGTCTCTGGCTATTCTTTTCGGTCTCGTTGGAGTTGGCCATGAGCTTTCTCCATGAAAGAATGTTTTTAGGAAACTGTCACTCATTTTGTTTAGAGGAATTTCTAGAGGTTATTTGGGAGGCCTGGAAGCATGAGACTCCTTCTCAGGACCAGCTGCATGATTTGTGGGGCCCCTTGTTCAGAAATTATGAAGGCTTTGACCTGGTGACAGCAGAGCATTAGCCAACCCCCTCCCCCTCCCCATCACCTCAGCCTGGGTCTGTGTGATTGTGGCTCCAACCCCTCCCCCAGTCCCCTCTAGAGTCAGTCCTGCCTCTTTAGTTTTTCCTCTCCAGTCTTAAATTGTTGAGGCTTCTCTTTATGAAAATAATGCCCTGCATTGTTGCAGAGAGCTTAAATAAGCATTTTTCCAGTGATTCGCATAATTGCATGATGCTGCAGGCATTATATCCCCAATTGACAAGGGAGAAGATTAAGACTGAGTCAGTAAGAATGACCTACCCCGGGCCGGACAGCCAGCGAGTGCGGGACCCAGTCTCCGGCCAAGGTTTACGAGTCAAAGCCCAGGAATTATCCTTATCATGTGGGTCCTCATTGCAGTGACAAGCACCTGCTCATCTGGGCTGAGGATGAATTCCGTGGATGATGCAAGGGTTTTTCTGAAATATAACAGAAGCCTCGGCCAAAGTGCATGTTATTTGTTGAATACCCACGGGTAGGAATATGTAATTTATATTCTGTGGCTTCCAGTATCTTTTTGGCATTACACTCATCAGCAAAGACCTGCCTAGAGGTTTGAAGAATCACATATCTTTAACCTAAAACTCCCATCTCTATAAATGAATCTTTGAGTATAATTGGGGGAGCCATCATCACAGCAGGGGACATAGAGTGTTCGGGAACAAAAAACCCCGGGGGGCAGTTTCTGGGACCGGCTGCGCTCCAGCTTGGAAGACCTTACCCATCTTTCTGTCTGCTTGTTGCCAGTGTCGCTGCTGCCCCAGTTCAGCTCTGGGCCAAGCCGATTGTGGCACATGCCCCGGGCTTGGGCACGGCGGGCAGGGCCGGGGGGGTTTGTGTGATGGGTGCTCGGACACGGTGGCAGGGCCGGGCTCAGTGCTGAGGTTGGCCGCCGCCCCAGAGGCAGTGTGGTGGCCCGGGCAGGCCGTGGCTGTCACGTGGCCTCGGGCCACAACCTGGCCTTGCGGCTTCCCACGGTGCAGCCTCAGACGAGACCGCGCTTCCCCGGGCTGCTGCCGTGCGGAAGACCAGAGCGGCTCATGCAGAGGGCTCTCGTGAGGGTCGAGCGAGGGGATGTTCCGAAGGTCCCTGGCAGCTGTGGCGAGCGCTGTGCTAGGTGCTGGGGATGCAGCGGGGGCTCAGGAGCGCGTCCTGCCGCGTGCGTCATCCAGCGTAGTGGACAGAGTGTGGTGCGGCTCAGGGCGGGCAGGGCCTGGATCCGTGGCTGTCCCTTCCGCGGTTTCTGGGGGGGAATCTCGAGGAAGGGCCTCCACCGTGTGGTCTGACACACTGAGGCTGGGAGAGATGATCTCCTTCTTTCAGAAAAAAATAGTCACGTGACTGGTGATGTCACCAGTGACTTATCTTAGATTTACCTTTATAGAGTGGGGCCACGCAAGTTTAAATGATTCCTTTCAGAACCCCAGGAAAATGACTTTTACAAGTGTTTTTTAAAGATGTTTGTTTACTTATTTTTGAGGGACAGAGAGAGACAGAGTGTGAGCAGGGGAGGGGCAGAGAGAGAAGGAGACACAATTCGAAACAGGCTCCAAGCTCCGAAGCAGGCTCCAGGCTCCGAGCTGCCAGCACAGAGCCCGACGCGGGGCTCGAACCCACGAACTGTGAGATCGTGACCTGAGCCGAAGTCGGACGCTCAACCGACTGAGCCACCTAGGTGCCCCAGAAAATGAGGTTTTAAATGATGATTTTTTGACAATGACAGAGAAAACGGCCCCTCGGCGGCCGGGCAGAGCAGCCTGTTAAAACAGTTGACGTTTTCACTGGCTGTGGGAAGGCGCCCGGCGTGGGTTCAGAGCTGCTGCTGCAGGGCCCCGTGGAGGCACGGCGCGCCCCGGAGGATGGCTTCTGTGAGCCTGTCCTGGCGGGTTCCGCCTGACGGCCGGGTGGCCGGGGAAGGAGGGGGCGGGATGCAGGTCGGAGGAGGCCTGGGTTTCTGGGGCCAGCGTGGTGGGGCAGCACAGCGAGGAGAGCACGGGCCTGGAGCCCGGCAGCCGCGAGTCCCGCTCTCAGCCGCCTCCTTCGCGAAGTGGCCAGGAGGGCGGCCCTTCAGCCTGGCGGGGCCTGCTCCTTGTGTGTGAATGAGGACGTCCTTGCTCTGCTGACCACTTCCCTGCATTGACAGCAGGCTCAGATGAACACACGGTTGTGCAAGCACTTTGAGTTTTTATTTGTTTTTGAAGTTCATTTGTTCTGAGAGAGAGAGAGAGAGAGAGAGAGAGCGTGCATGAGCAGGGGAGGGGCAGAGAGAGGGAGAGAGAGAATCCCAGCCAGGCTCTGTCCTCTCAGTGTGGAGCCCACTAAGGAGCTCGAACCCATGAAACCGTGAGATCGTGACCTGAGCCAAAACCAAGAGTCGGACGCTTAGCCGACTGAGCCACCCAGGCGCCCCACGGTTGTGCCAGCACTTTTAAAACGAACTCACCTGGCAGGCTATTTCTTTATTTCATCAGTTTGAGGATGCCAGCTGTGGGCCATGTGTCACAGGTTTGGCGTGGCCGGTCTAGTCTGTGTGCAGGCTGGCGGGTGCAGTGTTCGCACTGGTATCTTTATGAAAGCTCGGTGAAAGCTGAAGAATTCTAACTAGTAAATCTCAGTACCTAATGTGAAAAACCCTTTTAACACCAGTGTCTGTTCTAGATACTCTTTGAGTTCCCAGTGCTGGGTTCGAGGCCCTGCTGCACCACTTCCTAGCTGTGTGATTCCTGGGCGCATTTACGAACTCGTCTGGACCTCGAGTGTCTGCCCTGTCACAATGGGGATTATGAGGCCTGTCTCACGAGGTGATGATGAAGAGTAATGAGATAAACTCCTCACCAGTGCCTCACACCCACACGACACGACTCGTGCCCAACATATGTTAATTGATTTCGAAGTTCCTTCTGGTTTGCAAATGGGTTATCTTGAAGCAGAGAGCCAGGGGAGTGGAGGTGGGGACTGCTTTAGTTTTCTGTCGCTTTGTAACAAATCACTACCACCTTAGTGGCTTAGAACAACTGAGATTTATATTCTCGCTGTTTCTGTGGGTCAGGAGTTTAGCTGGGTCCACTGTTCAGGGTCTCCCAGGCTGAAATCCAGGTGTCAGCTGGGGCTTTGTCCTCATCTGGAGGCTGGAGGGAAGGATCTGGGTCAGGGTCCTTCAAGTTGTTCTCATTCCCTTCCTTGTGGTTGCACGACTGGGGTCCCAGCTCTCTTGCTGGCTGTTAACCAGGACCGTTGCCATTTCTTCGAGGCCCTCTGGATTCTTGCCACTGTGGCCTTCTCCATACACCCACTCATGCTTTGAATCTTTTCTCCCAGGAGGGGTGCGGTCCCTTTTAATGGCCTACCTAATTAGATCAGCCCCTCCCGAGGACAGTTTCCCATTGATGAGCTCGCAGCCAAGTGATTTGGGACCTTTATGCAAAATCCCTTCACTTTTGTTATAGAGCTTAACCTAATCACCATATTCACACTTGGGGTGGGGGGAAGATTACACAGGGTGTACCCACCAGGGTTGGGGATCTCGGGGGTCACCTCAGAATTCTGCCTTCGACAGCTGTTGGACTACAGCTGACCTGGGCGTGGCCTGGAGGAGAGGCCACCATCTTCTCTCACATTCTTAGAGAGGGGA